TTTTTTTTTTTTTTTTTTTTTTGTCCGCTTTTGAAGTTAATGTTCTGATTTTTAAATCTAAAATAATTTTGGTCTTTTCAGATTCGTAAAGAAACCCAGAAGTTAAGAGAATTTGAAGAAGGCTTGGTTAGCCAATATAAATTTTATTTGGAAAATCTGGAACAAATGGTTAAAGGTATATTAAACTTAGATTTTCTCTGTGTAACCCTGGCTGTCCTGGAACTCATTCTAGAGCAGGCTGACCTTGAACCTGGAGATCTGCCTGCCTCTGTCTCCCTAGTGCTGGGATTAAAGACTGTGCCACCACTGCCCAGCTTTTTTTTTTTTTTTGTCCTATTTTTTTTTCTCTTTGATATAGCCCTGGCTGGCTTGGAACTCAGTTTCCTAAGATGGCTGCCTCTGCCATCTTAGGGCTGGAGTTGAAGACTTGCACCATCATGCCCAACAGGCAACCATGTGTTAAAAGAACATGCATATCTAACCTTATATGATCACAAAGGTAACTTTATATTCTGCTTTATGTGAGAGGCAGTCTAAAGTCAGACTTCCTAGAGGCTGGGACTGTAGTGTAATTGGAAGAGTTCTTACTTAGTGTTCATGAAAGCTTCTGTCTCTGGCACTGTTTAAGCCAGGCATAGGTGGTGGTACACACAGTGATATCAGCATAGGGGAGGTGGAAACAGAGATACCAGAAGTTCAGGGTCATTCACACCTACATAGAGAGTTCAAGTCCATTGTATGCCAGAATGAAGACCCTGTCTCAAAACACAAAAAGACTTCCAGAGTTCAGCCTTTCTCTACCATTTGCATAATAGGTAAATTCCCTTTCTGTGCTTTTTTTAATCAATAAATAGTAATAATATTGTTTACCTTATAGGATTTATGAGAAGCAGTTTGATTTATAAACATGAAGTGTTTAATTATTTTATCAGCTATTAGTATTAGCGTTATTATTTCTGTAGTTCTTTGTCTTTCCTTTTATGCTGCTGGGGACTGGACGCAGGAACACATGCATACTACCAGTGAGCTATGTGCTCGGCATGTTGTAGTCCTTCATAAGTAGTCATGCATTTGTTGCATTTATGAACAGTTGGGATTTCTTCTTATTATTTTAAAACTGTAGACAAAAGACTATATCTTGAAATAGGTGTTCATGTTTTAAAAGCAGACTTAAAACTTAGCTAGGATGATAAGCCTTTTGAATACCCATTTCCAAAAAAAGAAGGGCATAGTGAAAATTGGGTGGTGAATGAGAAGAAACCCAGATTCCTAGTTCATCTCACTGAATTCCTTTCCTGAGTGCTAGGACCAAGGGTCACGTAGTTCCCAGCTGAGACAGTGCTGCTGAGCCTCCTGTTGGCCCAAGTGGGACGGAGAAGTGGTAGAGTGGACACTGGGTGGAGAGGGGAGGCTTGGGTATTGTTTTTATGCTTTGGTATCCATCTGGAACATACTAGGATTTGTTCCTGGAGACTCTTACCTGGCCATTGACAAGCCCAAGGACAGGCTCAGTAGAGAACTTGTCTCACAATATAATGTGGAGGGCCTGGAGAGATGGCTCAGGAGACCTAAGTTTGGTTTCCCAGACCCACATCAGGCTGCTCACAATTGCCTATGACTCCAGCTCTCAAGAATCCAGTACCCTCTTCAGACCATGTGGATACCTGCATTCAACGGTGCACATATCCACATTTACCCATTAAAAAGGTAGGGTGAAAGGTGACAGAAAAAGACAGGTTTTGACCTCTGTCTTTGGCATGCGTATGGATGTGGGCACATAGTCATATACTGTGCACACACACACAAGAATGTAATGTAACTACACTAAAAATGAAATTAAGTTTAATATTAAGTTAAATACCAAATTACCATTTCTTTGGACGGTGGTGGGACACGCCTTTAATCCCAGCACTTGGGAGGCAGAGGTCAATGGATCTCTGTGAGTTCAAGGCCAGCCTGGTCTACAGAGTGAGCACTAGTATAGTCAGAGATGTTACACAGAGAAACCCTGTCTCCTACTACCCCCCCACAAAAGAAAGAAAGATACTCCAAAGTACCATTTCTTAATTTTTCTTTGACATATATTTATTTGTTTTGGTTGTGGGTATACATGTGGGTGCACAGATGGCATTGTGGGAATGTGAGAGTCAAGAGGGCACCTTGTGGGAGGCAGTTGTCTCCTTCCATCCTGTGGATTCCAGGAGTTGACTCCTGAGCCAACTTTTTAGCCCTACTTAACCATCTTGGCATGTAACTAATTTGAAAGATTAATAAGATGATTTATGTTCTCTCTCTTTTTTTTTTTTTCCTTTTGGTCCCAAGATCAAAATCCTGTTATTTTACAGTTTGTTCTTTATGTAAGTTGTAGCTTCTGTCTGAGACCATGAAGATGTTCTACACAGATCTGACCATGCAAATATTTTATAATTTGATAAAGTTTGGGAATACATGTTAACTGTAAAACAAAAGCCAATCAGTTTAAGCTCTGACCAGTGACTAAAGTAACTGTATTTGTGTTTTACTTAGACTGGAAGCAAAGGAAGCTGAAGAAGAGCAACGTGGTCTCCTTAAAGGCCTACAAAGGGCTGGCTGAAGTGGCTGTGAAGAGCCTGTGTGAGCTGTTGGTGGCCCTGCCCCATTTCAACTTTCACAACAACATTATTGTGTTGATTGTCCCTTTGATGAATGATGGGTCAAAATTGGTGGGTTTTTCTAAAACTGGTTTATTGCTCTTGTCCTTGTTAGGAAGATTACACACTGCTTCATCTTACCTCTAAATTCTTTATAAGGTATTAGTAGTAATTAGCAGTTTATTATGCACCTGACTTGAGCGTTAGTTTAGTGAGTAGTTCTCCTTGGAGGCTTTTAACCCAACAACAGGGGTCCTGGTCCAAGTGTCAGCTCTACTTTACTGTCATGCTTTCTTTTTCAGATATCTGAAATGTGTTGTGAAGCAGTAAAGAAACTCTTTAAACAAGATAAATTAGGCCAAGCTTCTCTTGGTGTAATTAAAGTGATTTCTGGTTTTGTAAAGGGCAGAAATTATGAAGTTAGGCCAGAGGTAAGCCTTTCTTTTCTTACTTTGAAGTTTGTTTTAAATTTTCATTTGTTTACAAAGTTAATTTTTTACTGTTTCAAGAAATTCGTTTACAAACTTCTATAAGGTGGAAAGTTAAATATATAAATTCATTAAGTAAGTATTGCTAACAGTTTGTTGTGCATATCTTCCTAGATGTATTGGTAAAGAGATATATGCATCCTTGTATCAAAACTTAAAAAAAGTCTTCTAGTCAGGACCCTTTTTTGCAGCAGATTGATATGATGTGCGGTGAGCTTCAGCATCCTACACACAAACATACAACACCCTGCTTGGTAGCGAGTTGTCTCAAGAATTTTCCTGGTATAGTCAGTGTTGGAGAGGCCACTGTTCATATTATTTTTTTTTTAATATTGTGAGTATTCTATGAATCAGATTTCTTGAGTAGTGTTAGTGGATCCAGTAGTAATTACATTTAAAAATGAGAGATTGCCAAATGGTTTTCTAATAATGTGTCTTTCATTGTCATTAGTGATTTGAGTCATATCCCATCTGACTGCCCAATAATGAATGTTGCTATTTAATGTTTTTGTCAGTATGTAAGGTGTAAAGCTGCCCACATTGCATGTGTGTTTATTTGCATATTATATGTGTGTGATATTGGAGTTGCTAGTGTGGGTCTATGTATGCGTGTGTTCAGGCACACATGTGTGATTGTTGATGGTACAGGTAGACTTTGAGTATATTCTTTGATTGCTGTTCACCTTATATTTTTGAAATAGGGCCTCTCACTGAATCAGAAGCTCATTGATTTGGCTGGTCACTGAGCTTTGAGATGCGTCTGTCTCTGTATAGTCTCCCCAGCACTGGGGGTATAGGCATACTGCCACACCCAACTTTTTAAATGGGTACTGGAGATCTGAACTCAGGTCCTCATGCTTCCATGGCAGGCACTTTGATGAGTGAGCCATTTTTCTAGTCATTTGTACCTGTTAATTAATAAAGTTTTTCTTCTCTGTATACTGTTTCAAAGATGTTGCTTTACTAAAAATTTAAATTTATATAATGAGACCAATGAAAAATAACAGACAAAAATAGAAAAGAAACTCAATGGAAATACTTGTGTATATCAATGTGTAAAAACACCCACATTTCAGTAGCATTGCTAATCAGAAGAGGAAACATGTCTGTAAGTAAATTTGAAGCAGCAGTTCCTAACAGAACATAATCAGGGATTAAAAATCTCAAAATGCTAGGTGCTTAGCCAGTAGTCATTACTTTTTAAGTTCTTAATATAGCATAACAATATAGCATCTCAGTAGCATTTACTGAGATTTAAATGTAGAAAATATAGAGAAAGTCTTTTTGTTAAGTTTTTTCTCTTCTCCCCTCTCATGGGTCCCATTCTAGTTTTCTTCTGTTTTCTTCCACCCTCATGTAGGTACAAATATAAAAACCTCCTTCCAGCCTGTTTACTCTGTGCCATCTTGTCTGCCTGTTTTTCTCTTATATTCATGAATGAGCTGTTTTGAATTTTACTCAAATACTGGTGTCCTTTCACAAACGGATGTCTGAGTGTGATTTTCAGAAGAAGACAGAACTCCGTGTTAATCTAATAAAACATTTAATACATTTGGTATACATTCTTTTCTGCAGAGTCTTTGGGGATGGTGTAAGTACTAAGCCGTGTGTTTGTTGTTGTTTTTCTTTCCAATATTAGATATTAAAAACATTTTTATGTCTGCGAATTAAGGAAGTAGAACTGAAAAAAGATACAGAGGACATTAACAAGCCAAAAAAGTTCATGACTTTCAAGGAAAAGAGAAAAACTCTATCAAGAATGCAAAGAAAGGTTTGTTTTATTTTCTTTTTCATTTCATTTAAGTATTCTGCTTTAATTGATCTTGGATTACAAGTGGAATCAAAGTGTAATTAGATAAATGTTGTATAAATCATAGTTAAGAAAGGACTTTTATTGATTACTTTTGTTGTCTGACAGTTTCTCTCTCTCTCTCTGTGTGTGTGTGTGTATATATATATACACAACCTATTCTGATTACCTTCTACTGGTTTTTATTCTTTTTTTTTTGTAATCTTTCTATCTCTATTAATCTTTTGCTCCTGCAGATATACACAGTAGTCTCTTTCTCCGGCTCATTTTGTGACCCATTTAGTTTAACCTGGGCCATCTGTGACCACTTGAAGTATCTCTCTCTCTCCCCCCGGGCAAACCTCTCCCAGCCCTTAAAAAGGCACATGCCGCCAACCCCGGATTGCCAGGTGGGCACTGCCCATAGGGCCACGCATATGCAAGCAGCTGATAATCATTGCGTGATCAGGCCTTAGCCAATATTAGGAGCTGATTATCAGGTGTGGCTCCACGCAGCTCTCTACACCCATGCTGTGCCTTCTCTTCTGGTAGTCACATGAGATTATATATTCCTAACTATATGGAGGGTTGACACAGGAGGATTGCTTGAGTCAGTTTGAGACCAGCATCTGGAACCTAACAAAATTTTCCCTCAAGAAAGAAATAAAACAAGTTTGAAATCCAAAGTATTTAGAGAATTCCACCCCCCCCCCTTTTTTTTCTACAAAAACACTTTTTCTTAAAAATCAACTTAGACTGACAATTGTTGACAAAGAGCGACAGGTAATTTTTTTTTAACTATGTAGACTTATCCTTTAGTTAGAGCTATTTTTAAGCTTTTAATTATTTTTCATGTACGCATATATGTGTACACACGTGTACGTATGTGAATGGTGTGGTGTTTGGAGGTCATGTGGAAACTCTTTCCTACCGTGTGGTTTCTGGTAATTGCTCCCAAATTCACAGACTTGGCAGCAAGTGTCTTTTCCCACTGAACCACAGCCACCGCTCCCAACTTAAAAAAAAGTTTTTCTATATTTGTTTATTTATTTACTTACTTATTTGTGTGTGGGTGTCTATGAGAAGCAGTTTAGAGTCATGAAGTACAGATTTCATTTTCCTTGACAGAAAGGGTGCACTCACTTGAGTTTTTATTGATCCACTTGTTTTATTGACCGAAGTTCTGGTCTCTTAAATCTGACTTGAAATCCAGTCACTTTTCCTTTACTGACACTTTTGAAGAAGGGCAAATAGTACCTACTGTTAGGGTCAGTTTACAGTTTATATGAGATGATACGTGTGGCACATGTAAAAAGTTCATAATGCTGAGCAACCTTTTGGTTTTTTGAGATGGTTTTTCAGTAGTTTTGGAGCCTGTCCTGGAACTAGCTCTTGTAGGTTAGACTGGCCTTGAACTCACAGAGATCCTCCTGAGTGCTGGGATTAAAGGTGTGCCCTACCACTGCCCCGCTAATGCTGAGAATCTTTATAAACATTCACTTGTTACCAGAGTTAGAGTAGGAATCCTCTCTGTCCCTCTTTCTCTGATTTCATCCTTCCACCTTTTTCCTAGGGGCAACCAGCGTTACCAGTTTAGCTCGCTTGTGTATCATATCCATTTTTTTCTGCCTCTGCTCATATTTATGTTCTTAGACCATATGACCATGTAGAGTGTTGACACCCTACCCCATTTTTGCCTTCACTGGTATGTGTTTCTTACCCACCCCTGCTTTGTCTTTTCAGTGGAAGAAAGCAGAGGAGAAACTGGAGCGGGAACTTCGGGAGGCTGAAGCTTCAGAGAGCACTGAGAGAAAGCTGAAACTGGTGGGTGGGCACTTCCTTCCACTCTGTCATACTCCCAAGATGTTTTACTAAATGATTTTAATTATAAATGGTTTCAACTTAAAGTTATATCATTTTGGTTTATTTCATGGGTCTTAGGTAGATCATTTTTGTGACACATAAGAAAGTACAGTGAGATGCCTTCAGGTTTTGAGATCACCAGACGTATGTCTTGTTTCAAAGTCTGAATTGTGGGAGGGATGAAAAGGGAAAGGAAAGCTGAACTTGTCTCACTCAGGAGAGCTACCTGCTGGTTCTAAGGTGTTCTTTTCTGATTTCTCTGCCAGCACACAGAGACTCTGAATATTGTGTTTGTGACCTACTTCAGAATTTTGAAGAAGGCCCAGAGGTCACCTCTTCTGCCAGCAGTTCTGGAAGGTCTCGCCAAGTAAGGACTGTGTTAGGCTGAACCCTTTAGACCCTTTGCACATATGTGCTGGTAGCAAAGCTGTCTCTCTGCATGTCCCCGGTGCTCCTAATGCTCCCCTTCTCGTTCCTTTTTTTATGCAGCAGCCTTTCCTTGTGGGGTTTTGCTTTTCTCATTTCAAACTTTTTTAAAATTTACCTTTTTTTCTTTCTACTTTATATGTTTCTGGAATTCTTAAGATTCACCACTCAGTTCTTGATGCCATTCTACAGATGAAACTTGAAACTTTAGCCATAGGGCTGGAGAGATGGCTCAGAGCTTAAGAGCACTGACTGTACTTCCAAAGGTCCTGAGTTCAATTCCCAGCAACCACATGGTGGCTCACAACCATCTGTAATGAGATCTGGTGCCCTCTTCTGGCCTGCAGGGACATATGCAGGCAGACCACCGTATACTTAATAAATAAATAAATCTTAAAAAAAAATAAACTAACAATGTTAGCCATGTTTAGCAGCAGATATTTAGACACCATCTTAGAAATATATCTCTGGCGGGAAGCGATAGTTCTGGTCTTTACAGCCATTCGTGACTGGAGCCCACACGCCTGTGCTTCCGTATGAAACGTAATGCCATTGTCATTGGAAGTCTCCCGAGAAGACGGAGCAAAGGGGGATTGTTTCTACTCCAGTGATTTTGTTTTGCTTTGACTTGGATTTTACTCTGTATTCCATCCAGGCTAGCCTAGAAGCTGCCTTTAACTTATCGCATGGAGGTGTGAACCGTCACTGCTGGTTCCTGACATGTTTTTTTTTTTTTTAATGGTTAATTCCCTAATTCTTTAAAAAAGTAGGCTTTCTTTTTCAAATAATATATGCTTAATTTACAAGCCCAAAAGAATATGGAATTTAAAATAAGCTTCTGCTCCCATGTATGTGTTTGTGTTTCTGTCTCTGCTTGTCTTTTTTGAAATAAGTGGAAGACTGTTTTGTAGTATCCTGTAAGTTCCTTTAAGTTACTCGGGAGATCTTTCCGTGGTAACATGTAGGGACCATTTTTTCCTTTTCTTTTTTCGGACTTTTTTTCTTTTTATCTTTGGGACTTTTGAAGAATGGCCTCAGGTAGCCCAGGCTAGCCTCAAACTTGTGTAGTCAAAGATGACCTTGAACTTCTGATCATTCTGCCTCCACTTCCCAAGTGCTGGGGTTCTAGGCATACACCACCATCCAGTTTATTCAGTGCTGAGGCTTGAACCCTGAACCTTATGCATGCTAGGCATGCAGTCAGCCAACTGAGCTACATCCTCAGACCAGAGAATACATTTATGTCTTCATGTACTTGTGCACACATATTTCCAGATGAAAGGGTGTTCTCATTTTAAATTCTGGTTAAAAAATTCCACATTGCTTCCCACAAAATTGGTAGCAGTATTATGTAATCTCTCATTTCTTTGTTCAGAGGTTTACACAGCTTTAACAGACTTTTTTTGTTTGTTTGTTTGTTTGTTTTGTTTTTTGAGACAGGGTTTCTCTGTAGCTTTGGGGACTGTCCTGGAACTAGCTCTGTAGACCAGGCTGGTCTCGAACTCACAGAGATCTGCCTGTCTCTATATCCCAAGTGCTAGGATTCAAGGCCTGTGCCACCACTGCCCGGCAGTACTTTTGTGCCTGTTGTTTAGTAGTGTACCGAGTATTCTAACACCTACCAGCTGAGAAGATTCCTGAACTCTGCTGCCTTAGTCATTTCAAAAATAGAAGCCTAGGGCAGTCAAGTGATGCAGTGTAGTGTCATACAGTCATTAGTCACCAGTCCAACAATGTTTCCATTTTATTTTCAAGCTGTAATAGTGTCTATATTCCCAGGTTAAGTACCAAGGCTTGAACCTGAGACCTTGTATGTGCACTGCCTGGCTGTAACTCCCTCAACCACCAAAGTCCATGTTCTCATAAATGGCAGAAACCTTTCTTTCTTTTTTCTTTTTTGTTTTATTCTCTTTTTTGAGACAGGTTTTTTTTTTTTTGTATAATCCTGGCTATCCTGGAATTCACTCTGTAGACCAGGCTGGCTTCGAACTCACAGAGATTCGACTGCCTCTGCCTCCAGAGTGCTGCGATTAAAAGCATGCACCACCACTGCCCAGCAGAATTCTTTCTTTTTTACTGCTTCCTGTTTCCTAAGAAGTTATTTCTGCTGCCTCCTTGTAGTTTGTAGAAGCCTAATGCATTTAGTCAGGGCAGTCGTTTGCTCTTGGTAACTTGTTTCTCAGGACAGAGTATTTTCACTGATGCCTCATCTATTCCTACCAAGTATAATGTCCGGCAGTGTGAGAACTGTGTAAAAGTTCAGTCTGGCCAGGCGATAGTGGCGCATGCCTTTAATCCTAGCACTCGGGAGGCAGGGACAGGCCAGGCTGAATTAAGGGAAAGCTGTCAGTGATCTCCTACTTCCATTATGACTAACAGTTTGAAATAAGTAATATTTAAAATGCAGTTTTAAAGTCAAGCTATTTTTACTTGTTTTATTTCTGCTTTTGGATTATTTAGTAACTCAGTTTTATTTGACTCTAGGTTTGCACATCTTATAAATGTGGAATTCTTTGATGACTTGTTAGTGGTTCTTCATACCCTCATTGAGTCTGGTGTAAGTAGCTATTAGTGGATTGTTTTTTCAAGACAGAAATGGTAACAATCATTCTTAACTAATTTTTTTTTTTTTTAAAGAACCTAAGTTATCAAGAAAGTCTTCACTGTGTCCAGACTGCTTTTCATATTCTTTCTGGACAAGGTGAGTTGCTGTCTTAGGTTTTATTTGCTTTATTCCTGAAGACCGTAACTTAACCTAATCTGCGTTTGTTGTCTTCTCAAAGGTGATGTTCTTAATATTGACCCGATGAAATTCTATACACATCTCTACAAGACATTGTTTAAATTACATGCAGGTATGTTCTTAGAAGATTCTTGTTTGGTACATATGTATAGTCTTAGACTATGTTATGATCATAATTGTAGCCGATGAGAAATAGGATCTGGTGCATAAAATGCGGGCTTATTCTTGCCGTGCGTCTGTAGTTAATGTTATATAAGACTTGGGGGTAAAAGAACTTTTGGGGTTGACAGGGAGTGCTGTAAATGCAGCCCAGAGCATCTCTGAGCATTGCTCTACTGACTAGGAGGAGGATTTGCAGCAGGATAATGATTCATCTTGCGGGTCTTCTGGAGTTCAGGTAGTTGCGTAATAAAAGCATAATGACACTGACTCTGAAGGATGTCTGTTCTAGGTGCGACCAACGATGGCATTGAGATTGTACTCCACTGCCTTGATGTCATGCTAACCAAGCGCAGAAAGCAAGTTTCTCATCAGCGAGCTCTTGCCTTCATCAAGCGCCTCTGTACGCTTGCTCTGCAGGTTCTTCCAAATTCAAGCATTGGCCTTTTAGCAACTACCAGAATATTGATGCATGTAAGTACTGGCGTGAGGAAATCGAGCCAAGTTTTCATGGTGTGCTGCACTGTGCTTGTTTGTGTGTCTCTGTCCTTGATAGTTATCATTGTTACTAAAATAATTCGTAGCCAGGTGCAGTAGTTCGTGCCTACAGTTACACCGGGGACTGATGAAGGAGGACAGCTCAAGCCCACGAGTTTTAGGCCAGTCTGAATAGCACCTGGGAGCCTGTCTTTCTCTCTCATTTGAGTCAGGGTCTCACTGTGTAGTGCTGGCTTGGAACTAGCTATGCAGACCAGTCTGGCCTCAGACTCACAAAGTACCTGACTGCTTTTGCCTCCCACGTGCTGGGATTAAAGGCACATGACACCAGCTTAGTAAAATCACATTTCTTTAAAAAAAAAAAAAAAAAGCTGGGGGATTCATATTTGTAACACAATCAGGTACTAACAGAAACAGAGCAGTTTATGATACCTCCTGAGGCAGCCATTTTCACTGCTTGGTGTCTGTCCTTACGGCCCTGTATGAGCGTCTGTGCAGCATGCAAGCAACGCTTTGTTTTCATGGAAAGGATGTGACATGAATTGTGTTGTGTACGGGGTTTAGAGTGAATAATGAAAGATATTTTCATGTCAGTATAAATTTCCTACTTTATGTTTTTAATGATTAAAGTATTTTAGTTGTTTAGCAAATGTAGTTCTTACAGTACACTTGCCATTCTTACAAGCACCTCACAAAGAAGACATTACTTGGTTTTTATAACTGAGATAACTCTAGCAATTCTTACTCGTTCCGCTTTTCAGCTGGGCTAAGGGTGCAGAGGAGGGAAGTGACTCAGCCAGCAGTCACAGTAGTCACTCAGCGGCGGTGCTGGTGGACTGTAAAGGTGGAGCAGCCGGCATGCCCTACTTACTGCCCAGCTTATTGCCCACCCTGCTGCCCACTTGCAGTGTACCCGATAAACTGTGTGTGTTAAGAAATAGGCAGAAGTGGGTTTCTCATTCACAGCTGCTTCTTCGTTTTCCTAATGAATATAGAAATTGCTCATAAGTAATGCTATATGCCTTGCTCAGCCTTCATGGGGGGCGGGGAGGGGCTTGGTCTGCCTCAGCTTAATGTGCCAGGCTTTGTTGACTCTCCATGGGAGAAATGGTTGGGGAGTGGATGAGGGATGGGTTGGGGGGAGTGGGAGGAGAGGAGGGGGAGGGGATCTGTAGTAGTTGGTATGTAAAATTGATAAAAAAATTTAAAAAATAAATAATGCTGTAATATTTCTATAACAAAAATTCTTTGCCAGTTGATGGTGGCTCATGCCTTTAATCCCAGCACTCAGGAGGCAGAGGCAAGTGAATCTCTCTGAGTTTGAGGCCAGCCTAGTCTGCAGAGTTAGTTTCAGGACAGCTAGGGTTGTCCTGTTTCAAAAAGCCAAAAAAAAAAAAAAAAAAAAAAGATTTGCTAAAATGAGATTGGAAGGTGAGAAAGAACATGCTATCTTTGCAGATTTGATAAATCTCTCCAAACCAAATGATGCAGATCTAAATTATTTATTAAAACTAGGCTTGAAAGATGTAGCCCTTAGTAGAAGCACAAATTTAAATGTAAGAATAGGCCAGTTTCGTTCTTTAACTTAGTTAATTCTTCCTTTTCATGTGATGTTGCAGACGTTTCCCAGGACAGATCTGTTGCTTGATAATGAATCTCAGGGCAGTGGGGTGTTCCTGCCTGAGCTGGAGGAGCCAGAGTACTGTAATGCACAGAACACCGCACTGTGGGAGCTACATACACTGCGGGTAAGGGGCCCTTCCGTCTCTCCATCCCCCATCCCCCCTTCCTCCTTTCTCCTCTCTTTCCTCACATGTTACTGCCAGAGCGCTCATGTATGTGCTCTGGAATGTCTTCAGTACTGTAGTCCTGAAGCTGTTGAGTAGTTTTCTGAAACAGGAGAGAGTGTGGTAGACTTGTCATGAGCTTATAGAGATTTATTGAAGGTTCCCTAACACTATTCAGAAAAAGCAGGATTTCTTACCAGGCATATTTATACTGTATTGGATCCCACAAGGATACTTCGATAGACTTCATTGCAAAAGGAGGTTCACCTACAGTGCCAGGATCCTATAGTGAGGCCAGCCTTAGAGTGAGCCCTGTAGAAACTGTGGTAAATTATTTTTTACTACGAAATAGAAACTGTCTTTTGATGGTTCTTTTTTATACTGTTAACTTGATCATTTCAGAAATGTGTATTTTTTTTACATTATTTTGTGTATGAGTGTTTTGATTGCATGTATACAAGTGTACCATGAATGCAGTGCCCATGGAGGCCAAAAGAGGGCGATGGTTCCTCTTAGAATTGGAGCTACAGACAGCTGCCATACTGGTGCTGGGAATCGAACCTGGCCCCACTGGAAGGGCAGTCAGTGCTCTTAACCACTAAGCCATCTCTCCAATCCCCAGATACGTATTTTAATCCTGAGAATGAAGATACTGTTCTGTTTTGTTTGAGTCAGGGATTCTTTGTAGCCCTGACTGTCCTAGAACGCAGAGAACTCTGTGAGACCTCTGCCTCCCAAGTGCTGGTATTAAAGGTGTGCTTTACCACACCTGGCTAGTAATGTTCTTTAGCCTTTTAAAAATTTTACTTTTTAAAAATTAAAGAATAATTATATCATTTTCCCTTTCCATTTCTTTTCTCCATCCCCTATCATGTCTACCTCCCCTAATTCCCTATCAAATTAATGACCTCTTTCTTTATTGTTTATATATGTGTGTGTGTTTATATATGCTTATATATACACAAACATACATATACAAATTATATATAATATAAATACATAAACACTTACATATAAATGCATAAATACAACTTACCAAGTCTGTTGATCATTTCGTATGTATATGACTTCAGGACCGACCACTGGTATTGCATAACCAGTTAAGGGAATCAACCCTGGGGAAGACTAATTCTCCCACTCTCTGCAGTCCCTGGTTACCTGTAGCGCTCTGCCTAGGCATAGGGCCCTTGTCAGAGTGTCTCCTTTCACATTGGCAGGTTGCCCTTGTTCAGATCTTTTTTAGGCAGCCATACTGTTGAGGTACCATGGGTGAAGCTTCCCTGGCATTTGTAGGAGATAGAATCTCACAGCAAATTTCCTGGTCCAAAGGCAATACCCTTATGTGATTTGTATACATGTTTTTGTTTTTTGTTTTTTTAAGAAAGTTGCAAAATAAGTTGTAGCTTGTGTTTTAGGAAGTACTGACCTGCGAATAATGTCTCTTTCCTCTTCAGAGGCATTACCATCCTGTCGTGCAAAGATTTGCAGCTCACCTGCTTGCTGGGGCCCCGTCTGAAGGCTCCGAGGCCCTCAAGCCTGAGCTGAGCCGAAGGTACAGTCTGACAGTTGCTTTATGTTTCTGCTTGTTGAGACAGGTTCTCACTGTGTCTCCTTGGCTGGCCTGGAACTCAGAAATCCACTTGATTCTGCCTCCCAAGGGCTAAAAATATGTGTCACCTGACCTGTTTATGATTTCTTTTTGTTTGTTTTGTTTTTTTGTGCTTGGGATCAAACCCAAAGCACCAACTTATTCTAAGACTTAAAAAAACTCTGAAACTGGACTTTGTCCTTTTATATTTGTGTGTAAGTGTGTGTGTGTGTGTGTGTGTGTGTGTACAGGTGCATGTGTGTATAAGGGCTTCGAGAGGCTAGGGGTCAAATTGTCTATTGTTCCTCAGAAGCCAGCCACGTTATTATTTTGAAACAGGATCTAGACTTGCTAGCCAGTGAATCCCTGCCATCCAGTTTAGGAATTACAAATAACTACATGTGGCTTCTTTTATTTTTCTTTTTAATATGGTGACAAGGATTGAACTCAGATCCTCATGCTTGCATGATAAGCATTTTAGCAGCTAAGCAGTTTGCCCTGCACCAGGTTTTCCTTTTTCCTTTTTATAAGCCCATAGATTTTTTAAAATTTAGATATCATATGAATTGTAGGCTACTGATTTCATACTGTCTTTAAAGTCTGAACAAAAATGGAATTTTGTTTAATCGTTCGAGACAAGGTTCCATGGAACCCGGAATGGCCATAAGTTTAACCATATAATAATGTATTTATGGTGGCGTATGCCTTTAATCCCAGGACTCGGGAGGCAGAGGCAGGCGGATCTCTGTGAGTTCGAGGCCAGCCTGGTCTACAAGAGCTAGTTCCAGGACAGGCACCAAAGCTACAGAGAAACCCTGTCTCGAAAAACCAAAAAAAAAAAAAAAAAAGAATGTATTTATGTGTGATGAACTTACACTCTTGATCCTCTTGCCTCCACCTCCCAAGCACTTGGGATTACAAGTGTGCACCACTGTGCCTGGCTAGTTGTTACCTTTTAAGATTGGAAGAATTCACTTAAAATTCACTTTTTGTGCTTGTCTTGAAATATTAGATTTAGTTATTTCAAATGAAAAACATTAGATTTATTTGTGTTTATGAGTGTTATGCCCACACATGTGTCTGTGCACTACATATGTGTTGGGTGCTTCAGGGGGTCAGAAGAATGCATCACTTCCCTAAAATTGGAGTTAACCACTGAATCATCCCTTCAGCCCCTATTTTGTATTTTTAATTGCTAATATTAGTTAGTCAGCTGCTATGCCCTTCAAATGAGGCTCAACTTTACTGATTTCTATAAGTCCTTTGTGGGAAATAGAGATAATTCTTGGCCTTACCAAATACAGAGGCTGCCTTTTCTTTTTCACAGCCTTCATGTCTGCCTCTAGCCTTGTTCCATTTTTTTTTTAACTTGTGCATCACAAGGAACAAGTGGCATGCACTGACCAAGCGCTGTTCATTGAGTCATATCCTCAGCTGACCCCTACTAACACTGTTTTTTTAGAAAGGGAGAAGAGTAGATTCGTCATTGTTTTTAGTAATTCTTCTGGTGTATTTTCATTAATCATCTTGATCATTTGCCTCCTCTGTGCCAGTTTTCCTTTTCCGGGGTAAGATGAAGCCCAGGTTTGTCTGTAAGGCTTGGTCAGTGGAAAATGCTTTCTTCTCTTGGGGAATGAAGCTTGGGGTGTGAGTGCAGTCCTTGTGTCTCTCATTGGGCTAATGTGGCTCCTAGTAACCCCAGCTGACCAAGGTTTACTTAGGTAGTCTGGGTATTGACATATTTTCTGTCGTGAGTGTCCTGTCCTTGTTTTTCATCCAGGTTAATAGCTGAAGGGTTGAGTGATATTTAAAGTCAGTGACAGATTAATTGCTTATCATCAGTATCACTAGTTGAATTGGGATTCAGTCATACGAGCTGGTCGACATCTGCTTAGCAATCTTCTTGGGCTGTAGGCCTGCATTTCTGAGTGTGAATACTAGATTTTTCTGAGGTAACTTTAGTAAGATAGTGTTGATACTACAGAGGAGTTAGGTTTCATTTATTTAGTATTGAGACAGGGCCTCTCTGAGTACCTCTGGCAGTCCAAGAACTGCTTTGTAGACCAGGCTGGCCTTGAATATACAGAGATCTGCCTGCCTCTGCTTCTCAATTGCTAGGATTAAATTGCTGCCTCTGATTCTAAATTGCCACCAAGCCTGACTAGTTTGTATGTTAAATGAATGAGTTGATTGAATGCTTGATGTTATTCTTCAGATACAATGTAGCTCTTAAAGTTATATAGCTAACGGTAGTTTCTCTGCATATCTTAATATTTCTTAAATTATAGATCTGCAGTTGAACTTTTTGAGACTTACAGCATGGCAGCAATGACATTCAACCCTCCTGTTGAACCTTCAAACTCTAAAAAGAAGGTATGTGATACTTTTTTTAATAGAAGAAATAAACATTAAATCAGTGTATTTATTATCAATTCAACTGCCCAATTTTCTTTTTTCCTTTTTTTGAGTCAAGAGTATTGCTTTGTAGTCCAGGGTGACTTGAATTTAGGATTGTTTTGCCTTAGCCTTCCATGAATTGATACTACAGGTATTGACCGCAAAGGCCTGGCTCTGGGAGTTGAGAGTTGGATACATGGGGCTAAAATTCTATAGAGATGGTTGATAGTTGATAAGATTTTCATTCAATATTGGGAACATCCAAGACCCGACTGGACATCTCTCATTACTGTATTTCTTTTTTATTTATTTATTTATTTATTTTGTTTGTTTTGAGGCAAAAAAACTCACTGTGTATAGCTCTGGCTGGTCTGGAACTCACTCTGTAGACCAGGCTGGCCTTGAACTCACAGACCCACCTGCCTCTGCCTCCTGAGTGCTGGGACTAAAGGTGTGTGCCACCACCACCTGGCACAGTATGAGTAGTTTTAACCATTAATTTTAATCTTTTTTTTCCAGGATAAATTTTTACAAGGAGACTCATTTTTGAATGAAGATTTAAATCAACTAATCAAAAGATATTGCAATGAAGCTGCTACTGAGACACTGCTGGATTTCACCAAATGTTTGAAAACATCTTCACAGTAGCCTAAAGGTGAAGAGTCAGTGGACTGTCTTATATATTTATTTGTGCATATATTTATATGCGCATATTCAGAGACACACAACACACACAATACATGAGGGTCTTTTTCTTCGTGTTCAAGGAAAACTTCCTGAGAACAATTATATGAGAACCGAAGCAGAGGCCACTTCTGAACTCGAAGAAGACGCTGTTCATTTGTTTTTTATGGCTTACTCGGCTTGCTTTCTTATACAACCCAGGCCAGCTTGCTCAGGAATGGCACCGCCCATGAGGTGTGGGCTGAGCCCTACAACATCGGTTATTAATTTTGTAAGCACCCTACAGACATTCTCATAGGCAAGTCTGATGGAGGTAGTTCTTTAGTTTGGGTTCCCTCTTCATGGGTGACTTTAGTGTATGTCAAGTTGACAAAAAATGAGCAAGACAGTTATTAAATCCTCTTTATAACTAAATAAATATTGTGATTGCAGCACCATAGATGAAAGCAAAAAATTCTTAGTAAGGATTTTTAAAAGATAGCTTAAAATTAGATTCTTGTTCATTGGCTTCTATTTAATGATACATGTAATAACCAGATCTGACCTTTAGAAGGAATGAGTATTGCCCTGGGAGTGTGGGTGCATCACTTTAATCCCAGCACTCAGGCAGAGGCAGGTGGATCTCTGAGTTCAAGGCCAGCCTGGTCTACAGAGTGAGTTCCAGGACAACCAGGACTTTTATACCGAGAAACCCTGTCTCTAAGAAACAAACAAACAAAAGGTAAAGGAGTGAGTGCTCTTATGGCTAGTTCAAAGAAAGTTGAATGTGATTCTGGAATCTTTGAAGCTGTGTTTATTCTTTTACACTAGAGTGATGGGGGTAAGTTGCTCAGTAGGACGCAAGTAGGGCTGAGATGTCTGTTGTGCTATAGCGACACTGGTGCTGACTAACTAGTAAAGTGGTTTTTTTTTTAATTCTTACAGATAAAACTGTATATGCTTTATAAATAGTTATAAACCATTATTTTATATAGTAGCTATTGCCATATGTAGAGGTGACGTATGAAAGGTGTACATAGATATTTTCTGCTATTAATAGTTGAATAAAATAGCTTCCTTTTCTACTTCATAGTCTTGTGGAGGTTTTGTTTTTTTCACTGTTAGTGAAAAGCAGTTCAGGTAAATAGACTGTTGATTCAGCACCATAGAAGCCAGTCTTTCTGGGCCTGAGAGCTCTTTCCTAATGAAAATATGAAAACAGAAAATCCTCTTACCATCCAGCAGACTCGGGAACAGTGACCAGTTAATCAATTTAAAGCCAGCCCTTACTCCTTCTGAGAGTTAAGCTGGGTGTGTGGGTGTCTGGGCAGAGAAGAGGTCGGCAGGTATTGGAGGAGAGAGCACTGGGGGACAATTACCAGCTTGAATATGGGCGTATTCTTACATTGAGTTCCAGTCTCTCTCTCTCTCTCTCTCTCTCTCTCTCTCTCTCTCTCTCTCTCTCTCTCTCTCTCTCTCTCCTCCTCTCTCTCTCTCTCTCTCTCTCTCTCTCTCTCTCTCTCTCTCTCTCTCTCTCTCTCTCTCTCTCTCTCTCTCTCTCGTCCCACTTTATAACTTGGGCTTTACTGGAACTCAGAGAGCTCTGCCTGGAATTAAAGGTGTTCACCACCATGCCCACATTTTTAAGGCTTTAATTGTTTCTTGTTTTGTGACAGGGTCTCCCTATGTAGTCCTTGCTGTCCTGGAACTCACTATGTTCACTAGGCCAACCTTGAACTCACAGAGAAACTCTTGACTTTGCCTCCCATTACACCCAGCTAAGGCTTGATTATTAATGATGAGAAAAGGTATGGTTCAGCATACAACTTTCTTAAATTCTACTGTTTGACTAAAAACATTTCAGGAATGTTAGAAATATTTGTATACACAACCAAAAGATCTATCTGTATATATGTATCAATTGTTTTCTAACACCGGTACATTTATGCTTCACTTTGGCAGCAACGACATACGTAAGTGAAAAGCCAGTTTTAAAATAGAAATGGACTGGTTGGGTATTTCATGACTGTTTTAGACTTTTCCGTTTATTGTCACAGTTGGACCATAAATCTATACAACTAGCATTTGAATGACATACATATTTGAGGATGAACTATACGTATACATTAACTTTTTATATAGGCTTATTAATGTTTCCCTTCTTGGAGATAACTATTATAGGCATTAATAATCACAGGCACATATACCTTGAGGGATATATTAAACTACAGCCTTAATTCTTTTGAAGACAGATCTTGAGCACCTACTGTGTGCTCAGCAGCACACCAGGCACTTAAAGGTAAGAGTGAAACGGCCTTGGTCCTCCTGCATCTTTGATGCCAGGTCAGGAAATTCATAGATTAAAAATGCAGCATTACCCAGCCCAGTGTCAGAATCATTTGATCTCCTTCATTTATAGAAACTTGATAAAATGTCTCCAGGATATGTTTTAAAAATGCGGCAGTGCTGTGTACTTGTTACAGACCTATTACTTTATTTCAAAGGGAACCGTTAGTGCCATGCAACTGCCAAAATGAGAATAGTCTGAGTTTTGTTGGCAAGAGAACGGTGGCGCAGCGGGACTCTTCCACCGACATGAAAGCTCTGCAGTGTATTTTTGACAGGTCTCCTTTTAGAATGCGCAAAGAAGGGATTTTATTCATTCTATAATTGGTAAAAGAAACTCTCCAAGCAAAAGTCAGGATTTTTAGTGTGCTTTATAATTTGAAGAAAAATGTCTTCAAATGGAACAACGCCAATAAGAAGATAAAATGTAGGCTTTACTCTGAAGGAACACGTATTTCAGTCTGGTAAGTCACAATGTTGTGCTTCATTTCAAGAATGAGAAGAATACATCGCATTTAGTTGACTTTGCTGTTTTTTTTTTTTGTTTGTTTGTTTGTTTTTGTTTTTCGAGACAGGATTTCTCTGTGTAACAGTTCTGCTGTCCTGCAACTTACTTTGTAGATCAGGCTGGCCTCGATCTCAGAGAGACCCACCTGCCTCTGCCTCACAAGTGCTTGGATCATAGGTGTGCACCACAACCGCCCAGCTAGTTGACAGTTTTGTGATGGACAGTTTTATAAATAATTTACATCAGATGGCAAGTGTGACCCGGATCCGTGGCTCTTCAGTAAATCAGACGCCATTGCACTAGATGTCTAGCACTTTTCATGTTCAAATGTTTTATTTTTAGGAAGTCTTGAAATAGATTGAACCACTAATGCTTGTAACCATAGCAATATCAAGAAAGCTATGTCTAATAAATACACAAGTACAGTGTCAGTACAAACATTGCAAAATAAATAAGTCTACTTTAAACATCAACTTAATCTGCTTTTGCTTTTAAAAATGATTGGTCTTATTAAGACGTCACAACTCAGTAGATATTAAATTGTACATCATTCTAAATTCATTTTGTGAGAACTGAAATTGGAACAATCTGTGGGCAAATGAATAATAGCTTTGAAAAAAAGAACGTTTCTATTTGCAAAACGGCAGCCTAAAGAGTGCACCTTGGTACACAATATAGGAACTAATTTGAATAATTGTTAACAAACCTTACAGGACATATTTACATTTCCAATGCCCTAGGCTTCCACTGCTCATTAAACCTATGGCCAGTTCTTGAGGTTTTCCAATCTCTGTGCCTCTGGTTCCCAGTTCTCCACGTTGGGTCAGCCAGCTGGTCCTTGGGCCAAGTTCATGCATTTTTGTATGACCCTTAATCTTAAGAATAGCTTTTACAATCTTAAGTGGATGGAACACTTGAAAGATTTGTGATATGTGAAAATGATAGGAAATTCCAATTCATGTGTCCATAAATAAGATTTTATTTTCAGTCATGTTCATTCTTGTACCTGTTGTCAGCAGCTGCCTTTGCACTCCTGTGACTGAACTGAGTCGAAGGCGTATGACCCCGACCCGAAAATGTGTACCGCCTGTCCCTTTACAGATGACGCTGGTTGCCTTAAGCTTGGGCCTGGCTTTTCCACCTGTAGCATCTGTGCAATGCCCTGGGTGTCCTTGCCCTGTGCCACCCTGCCTGTCCTCCGCGTGAAGAGGGCAGGAGTTGAGAAACCATCACTGCAGTTTCCATGTGATGGAAGTAAAGTTTTCTCCGCCGTGTTCATTCTCCAGCGCTTCTCACCAAGGGTCTTCACCTGTAACATCCACAGGAGCTTATTAGTGGGTTGAATACGAAGAAACACGATATTTACAGCCTACGCAGGTTCAGTTGTTCAGCTACAGAAGCCCACAGCTCTCACAGCAGTGTTAAAACATGGTGTCCATCGAAGGTAGAACAGTGTTAATTCTGTCGTGACACACATTTCTTTTTTTTTCTAGACTTTACTAATTGAGCTATATGCTTTTCCCACTCCCCTTCCTTCCTCCCCTCTCCCCTTCCACACCCTCCCGCCGCCACCCCAACTCCCAATTTACTCAGCAGATCTTGTCTTTTAGACATAAAGCAAAGAATAACCAGCCTACAGTCCACAACCCCAGAGTACCTAAACAACAAAGAAAAGGAAGGAGAAAAAGACAAGATTTTTTTTCAATGATTTATTTTTATTTTGTGTACATTGTTATTTTGCCTGCATGTGTGTCTGTGTGAGGGTGTTGGAACCCCTGGAATTGGAGAGATAGGCAGTTGTGAGCTTCCATTGTGGGTGCTAGGAATTGAACCTGGGTCTTCTGGAAGAGCTTTTAACCTCTGAGCCGTCTTTCCAGCCCCAGGAATACCACATATAATTTCAGAGCCCAGGTACTGTGTTGAGGTACCATTTCTGCCTTCATGGAACAAGCCCCTTGAAAAGACAGGAGGCGCCCATCCTGTGTTACAAAGTACTTTGTGTTGTGCTACAGTACCTTAATATACCTGGGTCAAACACGCCCTCCGTCACTGCTGGTAACCCACTGCGTCACTGGGGGACAAGGCACCCACAGGTTTCTCCTCCTTGACTTGGACACTTTCTGAGGCCACAAGCTGAGGAGGCGAGGTGAGTCCTCGGGGCTGCTTAGTAGATTTTGTGAGTTTCTTGAGTTCACTTGCAAAGGAGATGCCCCTCCTTTTATCTTCTCGGGATGCCTACATAGAATAAAAAAAAAAAACCTTTGATGGAAAGGTAAACCCAGGCTCCTGAGTCCCATGGCATTCTCAGAGAGGAAGTATGTACTCCTTTGTACTTCTCTGGCAAGTAAAGATTTGGGCCAATAGGCCAAAGACCTCTATCCCAAGATCTTTTAGCCACACGAGAGCATGATGTTTTGTCTTTTCTCCCCGCAGAGTGAAAACAAAATAAGTACCTTCCAACTACTCGACTTACAAACTTTCTAGAGATTTCACCCGTTCCCAGGTTGAATTGATATGATGAGACTGACCATCAAGAATTTACACAGACGGCAAAGTAACTTTCATGTTACCTGAACCTGCTCCTTTAGCTTAAGGATGAATTTCCCTGCACCTTTCCACTTGCTTTGGGCTTGAAACACACATTCTTGGTCCAAAAGGATCCTCTGTGAGGACTTTGGAGCAGAAGACTTCTTATTGGGCGCATCTTTCATCACCTCTTCCAAAAGCACATAGTCGCCTGGGTTGGGGTTGTTCAGGATGCTGTAGGAATATTTGGCTTTGCATAACGTCTGAAAGATAAGTTAGGGTCTGCTTAGTCAAGCGTCTCCCACGTTTGCATCCCTCCTGGGTGAAATTTTAAGGTGGGAAAGTGGCTCAGACTCTGAGTGATGGGAAAGATTTTCAAATCTGCTCCCTCAGTGCCTCACTTTCATTTGAGTCGCTATGGCTTATAACACTCGTCAGGCTACCTACCTCACTTAGCTTCCAAATGGTCTGACTTACAGTGGTGTCAGAGCACCTGGGATGGGCCAGTGAAGTCAGACATAGGAGGAGGATTAACTCAACAGAAAAGAATCTGAGCGCCCCCCCCCCCCCACCGCACACCCGCCAAAAGAAGTTTGTCAACACACTGTAAGTCAGACACAGCTCTGAGTGAGATCTGGAGACTGAGTGAGTAAGGGATAGAGCCGGGATTGAACCCTCAGCCGTGTGATCAGCGGTCTGTGCTGTTTACCGTGCGATATCACTTCTCAAGCAGGGGTTCAATGAATGTAAACCCTGAAGAGGCCATGAGGAACAGTTCTCTGAAATCATGTTTTAAAAACAGCCTGACCTAGAGGAGAGGATTTGGTCAACAGTCAGAGCTGGCCTCCACCTTGTGTTCTGTGGCATCCTCCAGAGATGGTCATTTGTTATTTACTCATCTGTTTCTGGAGTAATTTCTGCAATGTCACCTAAACCCATTATCAGCAGAGATCCGAGCTCACTGTAGATGTTAGCTAAATATCTGTTGCACACTGAGCAGCTATTTCCCATCCTTAAGAGACATATTCCCCCATCCAGCTCCCCATTGCCGAGCTTCACGCACAAATGAGCTGTCAATACCCACATGGTTTGTCCCAGTCATTTAT